GGCCGGCCCGGGCCCTGCGGAGTGGGAGCTGGGCGGGAGAAGGGGCTTTCCGTGGGCTCCGCCGCGGCCCGAGGGAAGCCCGGCCGCGCGTGGGGCTCCCCGGCAGGCCCGGCTCCCGGGCGGGCTGTCACGGCGGTGTCACCGGGCCCTCGGCTGCTCCCTGTGCCCAGGGCAGGAATCCCGCCGTGGCGGGAGGCCCCGGTGCGAGAGCCGCAGGCTCTTGACAAGCGGGAGGGTCCTCAGCCTCACCGGAGACCCGGGGCTCGCCCCTGCTTGGGGGGCTCGGGGCTGTGGGAGTTGCGGGGTCCTGCTTTTCTCTCTAAACCTTGCCCCCAAGCCTTTGATTAATGCGTGACTTGTTCTCCCGCTTCATCAGTATCTTTACTTCCTTCTGTGGGCAGACTTTTAATAGAGCAGAGTTCTTCAGGACAGAAACTGCCCTGTTTTGGGCATCTAGGAAATTCCTTATTCTACTACAAAAAAATGAAAGTAGAATGGAAATGACAGCTGAGGGGCTAGTTCTGTTTGGGCGAGAGGGCTGTAGTTGTCAGGGCTGTATTCTTGTCCACGAAGCAGTCCTGGCAAGCAAGGGATTATTGCCTCTGATTTGTTCTAAAAAGCCTTTCTTAAATGTACATCATTACAGAGATAAGAGTGATAGGGATGCCTGTATGTGGCTGGGGGAAAAACAATAACTGTGTTATGTTCTGTAAAACTGAGAGACTGTAGCGGGCTGTACCCTCATTCAGTGGCTGTAGCTGTTCTTAAAGTGGGTGGAAAAACTTCAGGTGTCTGTGATTGATCATCTTTTGCTAGGGCAAATCCGTTGCCCTGCTAAGTGTCATGGAGCTCATGAGGCATTAGCAGCAAGGGCCTGCCAGTTGTGTTATTTTATTCCTTAGGGAGAGAATTTTTCGTTAGCTACAAAAAGTGCTATTAGAGGTTTCTTTTTTATGCGAGTTCTTTACCCCAAACCTGATACGGGGCATGAAACCCTCATGCAGCTTCTTCTGGGGAAGAAGATGGAATTGCTGTCCATAATTTGAGCCTGACTTGTGTGCTTAGAAGTGTCTTATTAAAAGCCTGCATAAAAAAAAAAAAGGAAATATGTTTAAGGACAATTTTAAGCCTGAAAGAATGGAAACAAACAAACAAACACATAGCTCTTGAATAAATATTTGCCATCTAGATGGAAAAAATAGAATTTTAAATATTTTCCATGCTGGAGAAATACGTATGTTTGTCAGTTCTTCAGTACTGATAGACTCCGTGTAGGTTTAATAGAATGGAAGCATCTTGCCAATGTTATGCAACTACTCATACCAGGTAACTTAATGTTCCCATTTGGCCTTAAAATCTGTCGTGTTTAACGGGATGAATTAAGATTGAGAATTATTATAGTTACAGAAATTCTTCTTTGTCAGGCTTTCTTTGGAGGCGGTGGAAATTAACGTACAATTGTTGATCTAAAAATGTAATGTGGAAACACT